TACCCTAGGTCACTTAATTAATTAAATTAGCAACTTAAATAATTAATTAAAAATCATGGTCAAACCTGAACCCTTAGAAAATTTTCAAAATTTGGCTACGTCAAATGCTCTCTTACTTTTATTCAATTTAGGAGGGGTGTTTTGGTAATTAGCTGATTGATTTATTAAATTAAGTTAATTAGCCTAAGTTGAATTAGTCAATATTCAGTTCCTAAGACTTAGCCTTGCGTTTAACTAGGTAAGGAACTCTCGACTGAAAAACAGTGAAGAAATGTGAGAAAAATACTCTCGGTTCTCCTTAGACAATTTCAAGGCAATTCTTCAAGATTTTCGTGCAAAGTATAGTGTGATATGCGTAGATTCAATTCTACAATAAGGTATGGGTTTTCTCTCTTGGATTCCTTTCCCTAGGAGGCTTTTGAAACATTTGAAATTCAAGAAAACCGAAACTAGGATTTCCCGATGAAATTGTCGAATGTCCATCTCCCTAGTTCTCCCTTTTTCCAATTCTAGTAGTATGTATAATGCAAATCTCGAGCATGTTGTTGGTATGTAGTGCTAACTGATCATTATGTGTATGTTTCTGTGATTTGATAATGTCGACTGAGACCTATAGGTTAGATCCGTATGATTAATGCCTAATTGTGTTCGAGAAGATGAAATTTTTATAAGTCGTTTAGGAAAAATTTAGTTTACTGTTGAAAGGAATGAAGGTTTCGATTACTGTTTGTGTTTTACAGTAGATATGTTTGTAAGTGTTTGGAATGCAATGTTTCCAAGAAGAAATAAGAATAAGAATCAAATCTAGTTAATGAATCTTCAATGCCAAATCAACTTTATAGCTTGGGCAAACTAAGCACTGAATTGTTTATATGAGTTAATCAAATGTTAAAAGTTGGCTTGCTTAAAATGATGAGATTACTATAGTATATACCTGAATTTAATTGACTTGGCTAGTGATAATATCATGACAAGTGTTTAGTGAAAGTTTGGTTTATGCCAATAAATTAGATAGTAATATTATTTCCAAATATGATATAGCGTTGGCCAATGACTAAGTCGTACTAATCTTATATGACCAATGTAAATTAAGATGTTCTTGTAAGGCCAAATACATGTTAAAGATTGACTTGACATGTTGTAACTCAATGAATTCATAACCTAGGGTATGCCAATGATTGGGACAACTTCCAACATACCCTATCTAAATAAAATTGTGAACATAGTAGCACATTGAATAAAAACTTATAACTTTCATAAAGAATGGTACAAGAATACCAAATAACATTGAACAAGATAATGTGAGTAATGAAAGAACTAAAAACTTATGAGTTATGAAATTGACCTAGAATGGGGTGTTAAAAAGAAGGGAGACAAGTCTCACTTGCACCTAAACAATAATGTTAAAGATACTCACATAAGAGGGTGTTACAAATCGTGATATAAGTCTCATTCACACCATAATCATAAAGTAATTTCACATTCATCGAGTATAGAAAGGGATGACAAGTCATCCATTGAGCTAAGCATACCTCATACTAGAAGCAAGCTTGCATAATGTATGAGTCAACTCTAAAAGTTGTAAAGTATAATAAATTGAGCAAAGCACCGATAGACTAGTAATGAGCTTGTGCAAGCACATGTAAGCCTCATGAGATAAGACTACCACCAAGGTGGATAAGGGTCTCCAAATTCTCCTAGTCTTTGAACTATGTCGCTAGCATAGGTTACTAGCTAGTGGATCCACCTAAGAAAGCTAGGAAGTGTTCGGTTTCACTTTGGCCGGTGAACCACCTCTTTTCAGTGTAGAGAAGACACTGAATTTCATGTTAGCTCACATGATCTATGTCGGTTAAATGCTAAAAAATTCTCTAAGAAAGTAAGTAAGAAAGAAAAAAATAACTAGGAAGATGAAGGGTGTTCGGATAGGATGACCAAAGGGTGAGGTTAGACTAAGTAATGATATAAGTCATTCTTAGTCATTGCACAGAAAGATTCCAATGGAAGTCTTAAAAGAATATCCTAAGTCAATAGCATGTTCAAAGTGAACGTGCTATCAAGGAAGAAGAAAGGTAAGTTCAAAGAGAAATAAGTAAGTAAAAGCATAAGTATATCAAATCATCAGTTTTCGATAAGAATTAAATTTTAACAGTTATTGGCTTATGCCAATGAAGGGAGCAAAACATAATGACTCATCAACTGGAGTATGAATATACGCCCCAACATCTTCATATTATGCAAATGATCAAATAATGGGCATAGCCAAAAAGATTGGCTTATAAAGACTTCATTCCATATTTAACAAGAATGGAAAGAATAACTTGTGAGTAGGGTAGCCAAATCATCTCCTTAGTCTTTTGGAATTACTTTGGTTCATTGTAGAAATGGGACTACAATGAATCATTACACTCGTAAGTAAAACATAGGATCAAAGGAGATCATTGAACTACACAACAAAAAGAAAAAAAGACTGAAAAGTAAACCAAGTGTGGGGAGAGGAGCCCTCGGCCTAAGGGAGCAAAATTATTAAATTTTCCTCGAGTTGTTCTAAAATTATGTTCATGATTCCAAGGTCTTGTGTTCATATAGAAAATGATTTGTGTGCTTTAAATGCATGAAAATATGTCATATTCATAGCATGATTCATAAATAACGAATTAAGAAAGTAAAGTGACATCACTTTTCAAAAATGGCATATTGCTATAGGAAGAGCTTTCCTTGACCATGCATAGTCCTTATGTGTTTATGTGCATACACTCATACTTAGTACAAGTGTGTATACAATTACTATTTCTATAAGTGCAGGTCCTTGAAGAAGATTGAAGATTAGATGAAGTTGTTTGGACTAGTACCTCCAGACTTTGGTAGGTCCTCTTGAGTTCGAGGATGCCTACGCTTTATTCTCTAGTTTTAGTAGATTAGACATAGTTAGTGGATATTGTCTCTAGCATTTTCTTTCAAAAATTTGTTCAAGCTTTCGTAATAAGGCTGGTTTGAAAACTATTAATGATATTATGAATTCTTCATTTCAGTTGTTCAATGGTGAATAGATGGTTGTTTATTTTGAGTTGTTAGTATATCACTCTTATGCAAAAATTATATGAAGTCTAAGTACACTTCAACAAAGTTAAAAATTTAAAATTTTTCCGCTAAATTTAACTATATGATTGTGATAAAAGCTAAGCAGAGGCTTGTCAGCGACCTCTGAGAGATTAACGACGCCGATCTCATCTAGGGTCTAGGACCCGGGTGTGACATACAAGCCAAATATGCTATCAAACTAAACTCGACGTACTGAACTCAATGAAACCATCAAAACATGAATCTGGGTCTCCTTTACCCGAAACTTATGAAAGTCTCAATAAACTAATATAATGCTTAAAAAGACCAAACTTCCATTGAACCTCCAAAATAATAAACAAAAACCTCATCTATGCCTATTATCCTAAATCCATGGAACCATCAAAAATTTGATCCGAGCATCTGAATTTCGAACATTGACCAAAGTCAATCCAAAGACTAAAATCATAACAACTTGAAAATGAGGATCTCAAATCAGTAAAACATTTCAGAATCAGAAAACGACGACACTGTACGATCAAATACCTCGTTTTGAAGCTGATGGAGCTGATGAAATTTCAATCAGAGACTCAAAACTTCGGACTATTACTAAAAACACCTTTAAACAACTTAAGCCTTTCCACTCATAATTTTCAAACTTTTCAAACAAATTTTAAACTTAACTTCATAAACTCGGCTTAAATAATGACTTAGGACAATTATGAGAAGGGGTAAAATGATAATTTTATTAAAAAAAATGACCTTCCGGGTGATTAAATGTAGTTGAATATCAACGACACCCTTCACCGTTTTGATTTTGGCTTAGTACTTTGAATTTAGAGCTATACCGGAAACTAATTTGGTTGAGCTAGATAGTGTTCTCTCTCCCTTCATGTATATTTTATTTCATGACACAAAAATAAGTAGGTTTAATTTTATTAGGAGCATTGCATATTCTGCAATTTTAATGAATTGTAAATAGTTTAAGTAGAGTCTTATAACTCATACGTTAGAGGAGAATTTAGAAAAGAAATAATAAAAATGGATATTTAAATTTTATGCTTTTACAGCATAATGTCAATGAGTTTTAATGATTTTCTCTTCTTCTTTTTTATAATTTTTTTTTGTTTATTTTTAATATTTCCAATTTTATCTATGAACAAATTTGAATGTAACAAGAAAACATCAATTTTATCTAGTCGAAGACCTTTGGGTAAAAATAAAATAAAATTTGAGACCTTTAATTATCCAATGGGAGATTAGTATATCATTGTTACATTATAATAAGTTATAATATTGAGTTTATAGGAAACTATACTATATAGATAGCTAGACAAGGGACAACCGCTTAACGACATCCAGGTATGATTGATTATGTGTTTGGTATCAACCAAAATATTTTTTTAAAAAAATAATTTTTAATTTTTTTGGATTGATTAATTTTTTTTAGAAAAATCATGTTTCAAGAAAGCCTCGTGAGATATGATCATTATTACTCCATTAATGATCATTTTAGTGAATTCGTGTAATTTATGTATGAGAATTTATCTATTATTTTCAGTTTTCAATCGGATGTGTACCAACTATTTTCTACATATTCAAAATATAGAGTTGAATCGATAAATATTTACTTATAACTAATTTAAAATTAAAATCACCATTTAAATTAAAATCAATGTCGAATTCTAGATATTCAAACAAAATATAAACTAAAGCGAAAGAATACAAAATGAAACTCACAAGATGTCCTTAGATTATATATAATTTGCGCAAACAAAGAAAATTGATATGCGCAAATAAAAAAGTTAATTCATCAAAATTGAGACATGAAGAAAGAACCTTATTTTATTTTGAAATGGTAAAATAAATAAAAAAAAACTACATTATCCACCCAAATCAAAAAAATGTCACAAGGTTCTGCTAAAGTATACAAAGAAGTGACACGATGACAATTACATGGCATTTTATTGTACAACCATAGTTATTTAAATTAAAAACACAAGACGATGAAACAAAACAAAACAAGAAAAATCTTGGTTTTTACAATCTTGGACTTCCAACCAAAACCAAAATCTTTCCAAACTTGTCTATTGGATGATAAAATTCTACAGTATGATTTTTTCTAAAATTGGCAATTTTTTATCATATGGTACTTTAATATTCTTTTTATAGAGTCCTAGCCTATCAGCACTCAACTTTGTCATGTAGGTAGATTTCTTGTATTCTTGCCATGTAAATTCCTTGTACAAACTTTCTTCTCCTTCTTCCATTAAAGATGATAAAGGCAGTATTTTTTCATTCAAAGGAGGCCCACCAAAATAAATCATTGACAATCTTGACTTTACACTGTTTGCCAAGACTCTATGTTTTACACTCTTAAACCTTCCATTAGTCAGTACCTGCCATAAAAACATGCACAAACAAATTAAAATTAATCAACCACGAAATTCCAATTTGTGAAAAAATAACACCTTTTGTTATAGATTAATGCTATTTGTACAATCAATAGTTTTTGAAAAATTGGAGAAACTAAATAGGAAAATCTGAAAAATGATATTTTTAGTATGGACAAATTAAAAGTACACGGTTTGATCATCTTTTATCATGAAATTTGAAAATTGGAGAAACAAAAACAGTTTGTTTTTCAAATTTTTGCAATAAAACATGGATGTTACGCCTACACACTTGTTATTTTCAAAAGTAAAAAAAAAAATGTTTAGCAATGAAAACAAACTGAAGTTGTTTTACACTTTTTGTTGAAAAAAAAAAGGTAAAAAACTCCTTTCTGTTGTTATTTAAATTTTTCAAAACTATGAAATTTTTCATGTATACAAAATTCCAAAAAAAAAATAAAAATCACATGAAAAATGTTGGTACTAGCTAGTTGTAATTATTACCTGCAGAGAATCTCCAACAATGATGAAAAATGAGTGCTCATCAGGTGGAACTGAGACCCATGTACCATCTTTAAGTGATATTTGGAGTCCAGTTGTATTGTTAGACCTTATAATTGATATTACTTGTGGATCTGTATGCTCACCAAAACCAATAAAATTTCTACCACCTTTCAAATATGCTTCAATTTCTGTGCATGGTGGATAATGGTTTATCCTAAAACAAGAGTCACTCTTTTCATTCTTTAGCATCCTACTCAGCACATTTTTTGGCTCAATATTCAAACCATCTGCTATCTTTTCTAGTACAACACATGCTATATTTCTAACGGATGTCACGTATTTATTCAGACCATACCTATAGAATATAAACACAAGAACGTCAAAAAATAATCGAAAATATTATTGATCCTTCTGAAATTAAGAAGAAAAAAAACTATATAAATACAAAACAAAGCCAATGAAATTGCCTCTTTTTCTTAATATAATTATAATGGTTTACTCGATAACGACTACTGATGATCAAAGTATAAAAAATTATACCTAAAAAAAAAATCAACTTTTTCATATAATAAAAATTTAAATCACACGTGTAACTATATGACTTTAGAATAACAAGTTAATCAAATCAAATCTTACTTGCTTGTATAATTGAAAAGATCACCGATATTCAGAATATTTACTAAAAGAATAGGTATAGTCGGTGACAGATTTGCCAACAGCACTATAGTAAAAAGTAAGAAATGTTCTTTAAAAGTCTAAAATGCCTATTTCTGTTTCAATTTAAGTATCACAGCTGAAATATATTGAAAAATTATTTCAAAAATAGATCTCAATTTTTAAAAAAAACAATGAAATCTCAACATGACAAGACAGACACAAAAAAAAAAAAAATAGAAATAGAGGGAGTATATATATATCAAAAGTTGTAGAAATTACCAGAAAAGATGAGGAGTTTGAGGAATGGTGACGGATTTATCCGAGACGAGTCCATCGTTTAGCGGCAATAGAAGATATTCAACCCAACCGACATCGCCAAGTGAGCCAATTCTCTTGTTACCATAACCGTAAGGGGAAGCAGGACCGGCTTTGTCCTTGTCACACTGTGGTAAATCAAACAACTGTACTGCATCACTTTCCAATTTAATTATCGTTTCATCAGGAACACCGTGATTGATGATCTTAAAGAATCCGAATTCTTCACATGCTTTTGTTATAAGGAATTTAGCATTTGGATCTAACATGTCAATCACTGGAATAACACTACTACTATTATTATTACCAGAGGTAGATTTGCATGTTCTAAATAAGTTTGAAGAATTTGGAAGAATTGGTTCATAAGATGAAACCACCATTTTCGAAAACAAGATTTTTTTGATGAATTGGGAATTTTCTTTTCTTGTTGTTATTGTAATGCATGAGAGCAAGGCGTTACAAACTATTTATAGTGTACAAAGGAAAGCCATCTGGGGTTAGTGATGACAGATGTTCTCTTCGATTTGCTACGCAGTTTATGCCATCTGGACATCCGTTTTTTTCTTTAATTAAAAAATAAATATATTCTAAACTATTATAAATGATATATAGATATCATGCGTCGTATTTTTAGATTATTTATATTTTTCTCATACAAAAATTAGAAGATTTACATATTTTATACTATCGGACATACATGTGTTATAATCTTATTCATCGCTCAACCTTTAGTAAATATCATATCAACGTATAAGATTGTGCCATGTATTTTTATTTAGTTATCCTTTAGAGTAAAGAACATTTAGGCTTTAATTTTTGCACGATAAGAACATCAACATCCTAAAATTATAAAAGAAAAAAAATATCAACATATTATTTATAATATTCGGAATATATATATCATTGTTTTTCACTATTTTTTTTTAAAAAAAAGGAAAGAAATATGACAAATTAAAGAGGACAAAAAGGGATTTTTTTTTATACTGTCACGTAAATGTTGCTATTTTTTTATTTTTTGGTCATGCTAGTCTAGTAACATTGAAGACCTGTAATGTAGACCAAGAATAAATCCTGTAAGGGTTGTTTCGTTGATTACGTAGATATTAGATATAGTGCTTGTGTCAGCATAAATTTAATATATGTTATTTTTAGAAAAAGTTTTTTGACAAAGATGAAAATTTGGAGTAATCAATTGTTTTAAAAATATTTATGAGTTGCTAGTTATTATGATTTGTAATATATTTTATCATATTTTTATTTAAGATTATTACTTTATTTATTCCACGTTACTTGGTAAAAATAAAATTTTAAAAACTAAATACTAATTTAGTATATTTAAAATCATTAATTACTACATCATCCTCTCCTTATATAAAGCAATAAAATAAAAATCCTAGAGAAGAAAATATTGAAATTATCGACCTACCCTAGAGATACAAACAAACATGTTGACGAAGTCTTACGTGCGTGTAGTCTCTTCTAATATGCGCAGTAATATATAATTTAATTTCAGTAACATTTTTGCATATATAATACAAAGTTTAAGTGGTTAAATACGAAAACATGATTATAGTTTTACTAATAATGCAATATGTAATCGCCCTCATAACAAAAAGAAAAAAGTAAGCCATATATCTAAAGTTTCATTTGGTTAAGAGTTTAAATAATACTAATAATAATTTGAAATTCTATTACTAATGTGTATTTCATTAGTTGTAGAAATAACTTAATCTATGATATTGAATATATCGCAATACAAAATTAGTCTGTGAGGATATCCCACAATAAAAATTATTGAAATTCTATAGAAAATCGAGCAAAATTTTCTCTATTTTTGGGCATATTAAAAAAGATGCCTCAATTAATAGTTAATCAGATATACAATGGCCAAATCAATCAAGATCTTCATCAACTATCATTCACAACACAATATAAGCTATATCCATCTTCGAGTACATGAAAAAATGCAATACTAATCTCAAGATTATAATCATGGAAGAATATTTCTAACTCTAATTAAAATGATTATAGAGTGAATCTAAGAGTTTGAATAAAATCATAAAAGGCGTTCACACTAAATATCTAGTGGGAGAGCAAACTATCAACTGACATACAACCAACAAAATAACTAGGAAAACAATTTTTCAAGCCTTTCAAACAAATGTTCAAAACCAGAAAGTGGAAGTTAGAAATATTCATGACATAACCCTCCTAAAACCTGAATGTCATGTACTAAAGCATTAACATAATCTGGAATATGGTAATGCAACCTTAGAAATAAAGCAGATTAAATCCGAAAAATGGGTTAGAATAGAAAGATGAATTAATGGATGCCCAGAGGAAGCACTCACAATTGGATTTAGAAAACACTAGAGTCACAACTAAGACTGGTCAACGGAATGGGACGTTATCGGTACCGTTTCAGGTACCGTTCCGATTCGTTCCAGTTCGTCCCGTTTCAGTAGCCTACGGGACGAGACGAGATAGTCTGAACCGGTACACGGAATGGGACGGAACCGTGATATCGTACTGGTGTACCGATACCGGTTCATCCCGGTTCCGGTCCGGTCCGGTACAATTTCGATTCAATTTACTTAATATATATTAATTTTTTTATAGTTTATATTTTATATGATTTATATTTATATTTTCTATAAATTATATTATATATTTTACCAAGACCAAAAGTTGATTACAATCAATCCATGACTGAGTTAGAAAGAGGATTTACGGGACTATACAACTATTAGTATTACATTCGAGACTTAGTTGAAACAGAACCCTTCCTAGAAGGTGGCTGCGTAAACTATGTACTCTACTAATAGTTGTAAATTGAAATTGTAATTTGTTACAAATTTAAATAAATTAAATTGATACTTTTTAATTTTTATAATTGTTTTATCCTTATTTCAATTTAATTTTTTTAAAATTACAAATTTTATTTATTTAATATTTACAAGACACAAGTTATAAATATAACTTATAAAATAATATAAATGAATATAAGTAATAACTTATAAAGTATAAACTTCAAAAGATTTAAATTTTGAAAACTTTATTAGACTTTACTTGCAAACTTAACAATAAAAAAAATTAATAAAATATTTTTAAAATAAACTTAAGTAAAAAATTATAGTATAAATTTAAAAACTATTAATTTATACTTAGCAAAAAAATTATATTTTCGTAATCCAAAAAATAGCGTCCCGTTTATCCCGTCCCGTTTATCCTATTCCGATCCGTTCCGATTCGTTCCGGGTCCATCCCGGTATATAGTGGAACGGGACGGAATCGATTATTCATCCCGGTAATTCCAGTCCGATTCATTCCGGTATCGAACAACATACCGATCAACAGGTTCCGTTCCGGTCCGGTACCGGTTCCGGTCCGTTGAGGTCGCGAAGCAGCCACTACAATATGTCATTTATTCAATAAAGAAACACCAAGTGCAAAAGAAGAACATAAAAACTATAGTATACTGATTGAATCACCCTCCTATTCCAAATATATAAAATACAAACAAAATAGCATTAACTTAGTAAGACAAGACAATACACAATATAGCTCAATTAGTAAGATCAACATGACTCTTACTCCTCATCTTGATTTGATAACTAAAACAAATGTGCTCACACACATTATGAAACCAACACGCAGAACAATCACATGTACCAGATGTAGTATTCAAGCATACTAATGTGAACTTGTACCACACATGATACCCAAGCCAAACAATAGATATCATGTACTATGGATGATAGTCGAACTAACCGATATATGTACAAGGTGTGGTACCTAGTCCAACCAAGAGATATCATGTACTTGGTGTGGTATTCATGTCAGATGATGATACGTACCATGCATTGTACCAAAGCCAACTAATAGTCTCACATCACACGATCAGAGCCATAACAATCAGACTTGTAACACACAAGCAAATAAAAAGAATTCATTGCATGAGATTGACAACAAGATATCATTTCAATTTTATCGCTTTTCAATTCCCTTATCATATATTGTACAAGTTTTACTAGAAAGCAGTTAATCATGCACAAATGACATAAACGAGAAATAATTCAATCATCACCTACTTCAACTCAAGCTTTAAATTTTTATTGAACATGAGTCTTCCTCTTCTCATAAAGTCTAGATTGTTCTTGGTCTATAGAAACTCAATTATAAAATAATACAAAACCAAAAGGGTCATAAATTTAAGTGTATTATATCCTAAACATAAAACACATGTCAATTTCATGATATTTCCACCCAAATCAAGGTTTTCTCACCTTTAATTCAAATAAACCCTCCCATAATGTCACTAACATGGATTGTAAAGCCTAGTAGTCAAATATCAAGCTACGGGAGTAATTTATTTACTTTTATGGATGATTTCAATGAAAAACTATGAAAAATTTTCTAGGTCGCCTTTGAACTTCCCCGAAATATTCTTGAATGGAAATGGACTATTTTAGGGAGTTCTCTGCATTTTTGGCGACTTATGCCGCCATAGCAGTCTAATCTCACTATAGTAGCAACACTGTAGCGAGAAATAATTCCTGTAGTGGTGGAACAAAATCAGCATCTAAAGTGACTTGCACAAGGAAGAACATCGGAAATTTTCTCAAATTAGCCTACTTCTTAATACAACTTTGATATATTGTGGATTTATGGTACTTATAATGCTTTAAACTTGAGTTTTTGCATGTCTTTTAAGCATTTGTTAGTATATTTGATGGTGTTATTGTCTTTATTTTGAAACAAAATAGGTTTTGGTAGCTTTAATTGAGAAGATAGTGTTAGAAGCATGTTTTGGTGATTCTACAAGCCAACTACGAGTCATATGCGGAACTCGTAAATAGGGTCAGCATGAATAAAAAACAAAGTTGAAGTTATGAGAGGGGATCATGAGACGTAGGATATTCTAAAAGGTGTAGGTCCATGGTCATAGAAAAGATGAAAATTTAAGCTCCAATATTGGGATTACGAGTGAACAAGACAGACCGTACAAAGGTTTACGGACTGTTGGTCCTGTCCATAGAAAACATCCTAAGACATGCTTTGAGGATTGCTTTCACGAGAGGGACTCTACGACCCGTAGGTCGTAGAAAAAATTGTTAAAACATATTTTTTACTTAGTTTCCTTAGTTTATTCTGATTATGATTAGTTGTATTTAATTACAGTTGATATTTTTAATTTCGAAGTTCGGTTTTTTTATTTTTGAGAATTAAGTTGTGAAACACTTTTTTTCACTTTTTACTCTTATATCACACCTTTCATTCATCAATTATTATTTTGCAACTTCAATTCAAGATTCCAGAATTCAACTACTCTTATTGTAAGTTCATGGTTTATCTTAACCAAATCAATATGAATTGTTATCACCCATGAGCAACTAATTCCACAACTAGGATTGTGGGAACCACGAGAAAGTAACAAACTAAACCTAATAACCAGCAATTCAATTCTTGATAGTATTTATGCATGTATTATTTTTCTCTTCGCTTTGATTGATTTTTAATGGATGCCTACGTTAGAACTCATCCTATTCTTACTTGACGAACCAAGGGGTAAAAAATGGAAAAAAAAATTATACAACTAAGATTT